GCGTGACGCGACGAAGATCAGTGGATCGTGTGGAGGAACCCCGCAGGTGTGGGGGGGGGGGAAAGAATGGGCCTCCAACAATGAGCCTCAAACAGGTGCCAGTGCCAATGTCTTGCACAATCACTCCCTTCTTTGGGAGGTATTGGGGTTTGGGATGGTTTGGGAGCTTACGCCTTGAAACCCGGATACCTCGCGCTCTCTCCTCTCTCTCCGACAGAGTCATGCTCTGCCGTTGGAGAACGCGACGTCAAACGTCCAGCGTTCACGGCTCAGAGTCTCCGGAGTGCTCGGGGTGGTGTGGTGTGGCTCGTCCCCTCCAGGGGCTGTGGATGTGACGACGGGGCACCCATGGATCGCACCTCCATGGATCGCACCTCCATGGATCGCACCTCCATGGATCGCTCTGTGATCTGCTGGAGAAAGGGTGTTTCTTGTGACGTGACATGGGACACGAATTGACTGGGGTACCGATATATAGGGAATAGTCACAGTCTTATAGGGTTAGGCTTCGGGTTCTTCGACCTTTGTTGGTTTGTCAGCAAAGTTGAACACAGTTCACCTGGATCTAGGGATCCAGTCGTGCTTTCTCAGGTACGGTGATGTGTTCGACACTGTTATGTAGGTGCCAGGGGTCCAAGATGGTCCAAGTACCTTCTGAGAAGGTACGACTGGATCCCTAAACCCATCCAAAAGTCTCTTCTAAAATCCTTCCGCCCTACGTTTGTGGGAAGCGTCGACCGGACGTCCTTCTCCATCCCGCCGACCCGTCACACCCTTCGTTCGCTGTTCGCGAGTGGCGAAACCGAGGGGCCGCTGATCACGAAGAAACCACCCACCAGGACATTCTCTTGGGTGAGAAGCTTCAGCGCCGTCAAATTGCTGGTGCTGAACCGGGCAAAGTGCGCCACCACGATGGGGAAGACCAGCGCGAAGCGGCACCCATCAATACCTGAGCTGTGAAGGATGGTGAAAGAATGATGCTTGGAGTCATTCTGAGTTCTTGAGACTTCGTGGAAGTCTGAACCAAAACGATCCTACACGCTTAAACACGAAGCTCAGACCAGCTACAGTCGATGCGCGGCTTTGAAGCCTTCACGGGCTTCACATCCTTCACATCGGCTGGCTTCGGGGCGGCCTTGGCATCCGGGTCCACTCTCTGCGCGAGCTGGGTGCTCATGCTGCTTGCGGACTTCGGCGCGGAAATGCGGGAACCGGTGTGCGATGTCTGCTGGAGCCAAATGCTGCACATGCGTGGGTTCGCCTCACCCATCGCGCTCCCATCAGGATGAAACACAATGGCTGTGGGCCAAAACCAGGTGTTGACCCACAGCATCCCACAGCCACATTGGCACACTCACACCTCACGATGTCAACATAGCTTCAGCAGCTGACTGTCAGGTACATCTATGCGGGCGCCGAAAACTTCGGCGGCCATGTTCTGAGACACAGCTAGAATTGGCTTCTATCCCATCACCTTCTCCGAGGATTTGTGGATCTCCAAGGTATGTGCAATGATCTACCTCTACGTGTAAAAAGCTTCGGAACACCCACTACACAAGGTGCGTGTAGAGAGCATGAAGGCCAGCGAACCCCAGCCACGCCTCGTCACGTGCCTCGCCGCATCGCAACATGGCATCGGCGATGCGGCGTGGCTAGGGATTCAATGGATCGAATCCATGTGACCTCTGTTTTGATAGGATAACACTGGCTTGAGCAACTGGCACACGAAGGACAATCAGATGTCACACGAAGGACCCGGTTTCAAGGAACATGTGGCAAATCTCACTCCGATCCCAGTGAGTGGGCAACACTCCCCCTACCCTGAAGCACCCCGACATGCCAAGGGAACTGCTGGATGCCGGTGTTCCGGCCCCCATGTGGGGTTTCAGGTACGCCGTCCAAGCAGAAATCGTCATGTCCAAGCCATCTTCCAATGGGACTGCCATAGGACTGCCGATCAGGTGGGGGGTGGTTGACCCGGGGTCTGGCTTGATCGGCAGTCCGTCATGGCAGTCCCAGGTCCAGGTCGTGTCTGGGATCGTCCTTTCTTCATGGCCCAGAAAGTCGGGGCCACCATTCATCCAGCCATCTGCTCGAAGATTCGTTGACTTGCAGACTTGCAAGTAGGTCAACTTAGAGTTCACCCACACATTCCCAACACTGATCGGTCGTCGGTCCACTGCGTCAGACGAGCCTTCGTTCGGCCCCCCTTTTTGGGCGGGAACACTGGCGACGGGACGGGTAGCCACACGGCAACGAACGTGAAGAGACGGCTGCGAAGACAGCAGCGGAACGCCAAGGGGAGCAGATTCTGGGCATTTTTTGGCACAAGGAGTGCCAGTCTAGAGTCTGTGTGTCTGTGTTTCTTTTTTTGGGGGGGGGTGACCTTGCAGTAGCACACTCCTATCCTACTGGGGTACCTGTGGAAAAGTCTATACATAGGGTTCTTCAATCTCTGTTGTTAAGTCAATCTTTGCCAGCCAGGCAATGGAAAGTTGATTTTTATTATTTTTTCATTTAGATCTTCATTTAGATCATCATTTTTTTTACAAAATATTTTTGTGTTATTTTCATTTATTTTGGGATTATCATGTTTTTTGCGTCATGTTCATCCTTCCAGAACTGGTTGGCTTTGCTGTCATTTTTATGGGCTTCCAAAATCACTTCAGTCACAGTCAGCGCCTCAAACTATGTATAAATGCGTGAAGGGATTCCCTCACCCATCCCTTCCCGAGCAATCGAAACCAAGGATCAAAATCATGGAATGCAACTTGCAAGCTGCTGAGCTAAACCACTGGGCCCCAAAAGCCTGAGCCTAGTGGCCTAGTGGCCTAAAAATTTGTCATACAGGAATGGGAAGTAAAACAGGTTAGTGAAGAGACAGCCCTGAATGAAAACTAAAAAAGCACACGAAATTGTCAGAAACAATATAAACAGTATGACCCAAATGAAGACCAAAATGACAGATGAGAAGAAAATTATTAACCAAATGAAAACCAACATCACAAATTAAATAAATGATGAACCAAATGAACACCAAAATGACAAATGAGGAAGCAAATGAAAACCAAAATGCCACACGAAAAAAAATGAAAAAAAGAAACGAAAAATAAATGAAAAGCAAAAACGAAACGAAAAAAAAACGAAAAAAAATGAAAA